CTTCATTCGTGGAGATCTTCTTGTATCCATTCTTTCCCATGACTGTTAATCTGAAAACTAATAAAGATCGACATTTATAGCTCAAAATTCGTTTGACAACAAGATGAAAGTCTTTTGGAAGTTTGCTGAGTCAAAGCCCTCAAATTACAATAAAAAAAACCCGCGTGTAAGAACCTAGTTGTTTAAGAACCGACTGGCAGAAATTTGCCACTTTAAGAGCATAAAATTACAAGAACCTGTTTAGCCAAGCAAGAGCAAGCAGGTTCTTACGTGTTGGTTACAGCTACTAATTATGATAAACATCTTAACAAAGGAGTGGGACTTAAAGAGTACAACTTTATATTACAAGTGAATACATAATAATACAGTTGTGAATCAATACTGTATACTGTTTAATCTGTTTTTTAAATATATTTATTGAGAGAGACTTTTATTTCATGTGGAATAGTGTTCCATTTATCAATTACTTTATTTCTTGTTGAGTAAACACCCAAATTTGTCCTATTACACTTCTTGGGTAAATTATTAGACTTCCTTGTACAATGGTTATGAATTTGAGTATTTTCTATACAGATATCATTGAAATACACTGGGAGTGATTTTGACCTAAGATTGAGACAGAAAGTGCTAACAAGAAAATCGCTAATTTGTTTAAAGTCTAATAAATTCAGTTTTTGAAAAAAGTGTACAAAAGGGAGCTTTACATGACGAAAATGGCAAAGATTATTGGACAATGCATCATTGACTATCAACTCCACTTTTAAAACACAGTTCTCTAACCGATGCAGAACTGGAGAACGTTAACAAAAAAAATAACAGTTACGTCAGTACGATTCTTCCATTGTCAGATTTTGGGATTCCAATGCTTGCATAACATTCATGTGAATACTGGTGAATATATATTGGTTTGGCAAAATTTATACGTGAGGCTGAATGCCAGCCCCTATGAAGTGGCCACTTGGCATTTACCCAATGATGGCTGTTTACTAGTGGTTCCACATATTTCCTTTCTGCTATAGGAATGGTTTACTTTACCCTACTAAACCTGGGCATGGTAATTCACACTGTGAAACATAACATCACATTTCTTTCATTGAAAATATGCAACTTGTCAACATTCATATCAAGCAACATGCAGAAAGTTTCTATGGACTAACAACCCACAGGCCATAGGTTTGACTCCCAATAACTATGGAAGAAACTCAGATATCATTTCTGAGTACTGGTACACCAATATTTCATTTACGTAAGTTATATGCCTGTGGCACGAGCTGAAAAAACAGTAAGACAGAATAAAAAAAAAAATTTAGCAACATCAAAGGTTGAAAACAAATGGTGAACTTCATACGAAACAGTTGAAAGTACTGGTGAAATGAAACTGATGATGAAATTTTATCCATAGGAGTTAGCACAGTCTCTCTGAACTTTGAAATTCATTTTCTCTCGTTCCCATGGGAAATTGCTCTCGGTGTTATTTCAGGCCACTATTTATATCTTAAGTTTACAGAAAATGTAAAAAAGGACATTGAACTAAATACTTAAAATTATTCTGGTACCAGATTTTTGTCTACTAAAATCTGAAATTGCTCCATTTTTCATTGATCGAATTAATTATTTTATCTCTAATATTTATACTAAAACACACATGATAAAACCTTGGATAACAAATAACACCTGGTCAATTTAAATCATGCCTTAGCTTTTTGTAAGCTCTAGGCAAAAGCAATCAGCGTCTTCTATAAAATTTTGCCAAACCTCTTATATTCACTGGTGTGCACATGAATCGAATGTAACGCAAACATTGCATTGGAATACGTACTTACATATCATCACCTAATTCTGCGTCGGTTAGAGAACTGTATTTTTCAAGGTGGAGTTGATATTCACTGATAGGTCGTCGGATCGATATTCGTTTGCTATACAAACAAGGAAAAGTCGAGCAATATTTGCTCCGCAGTACGATTATTCTAGGAATATTTGCATTGAGTTGTCATCACCACCACCAACACGGTGTGTTACTAACTAGTTACTAGATATCCAGTCCCATTTCCGCTTTCATGAAAACGATCATTCACGCGATTCACGACGAATTCTATGCTGAAGCGTAGGTAGCTCTCCAAAGACTCCATTTAAGGTAATTCCCCTAAAATAAAACTGTCAATAGATTTTTGTTCAAACTTTGTGTCCACTGAATATTTATCATATGAGAACTTAAATTATAAAATAAAAGGGGGGAGGGGGTGGCCATGCTCGTTAAGGAGTAGTGAGGCATTGAAAATGTCCCAATTTGGCATTATTTAATGCTTATTACCAGAACGCATTCCAAGTTATTGTAAAATCTTTGTGAGCCCAGACTCATGAAAACACGCCTCAGCCTCAATACTTGTGTGGGACACAAATAAACTTAAGTTTGATTTTGACAGACAGTTGAATCCTTGTTAAAATTTTGGAACCAAATTGCTTGCCACTGCTATCAAACTGCAAAATAGAAAAGACTGCAATGCAGCCGCTATTTTCCTTATTTCTTCAATTTTCAGCAACAGAAATCATGTCAATCTTTTCTCACGCAAAGGTAATGATTAGTTGATTAAAATGACTGGAAAACAAATTGGGGTGCCCGAGCTCGTTAGTGAGCTATAGCCATTTTTCAACTGACAGAACTCA